AACAAAATTCAGAGTCTCTACAACATATTGTTCAAAATATGCAGTATTCAATACAATATCAATAGACATTCAATGAAGTAGAAAAATGTGATCCAGGGTCAAGAAAAAAAGAGGTCCACAGACACTATGCCCAAGACAGCCCAGGTATACCTACCAGGTAAAGACTTTAAGCAATGTTGTAATTATGTTCAAATATAGGAAAAATATGGTCTCTTGAATAAATGGAAAGGAAATCTCAGCACAGAAATGAAAAGAACCTAATGAAGATTCTAGAATAAAAGAATATAATACTCACATGAAAAATTTTCTATGTGAGCTGAATAGTAGATCAAAGATGGCAGAATAAAGAATCATTGGACATAAAGAGAGAATCAAAGAAATAATCCAATTTGAAAAAACTAAGAGAAAAAGTTTGAAGAAAAATGCGCAGAACCTCAAGGAATTATCCTCTGGAGTAATATCAAATGATCTAACATATGAGTAACTGAAGTCCCAAGAGGAGAGAGAATGAGATAAAACAGGGAAAAAAAATTGAAGACATAATGGCCAAAAACATCTCAATTTGATGAAAAATGATAATTTTCAGGCCCAAGAAACTGAATGAACTCTGAACTGTTTAATAGCAGAGATCACCATTGGACCAGGTCAATAAATTGCTTGGAAACTGATAGGTTGCTGAAACCTGGACAAAACTTTAGCACTTTGGCTAGATTAGTCTAAAGCGCTGCCAAGTGGCTTGGGCTTCAGAGAGCACACAGGGAGGAAAGAAGTTAACTCTGCTGTTGGTCAACACTGTCATTTGCAACAGAGCAGAAACTGAAGATGCTTCTTAGACATTTCCCTGCTCAAGTTCTCGGTTTGATTATGAAGAGGTTACACATGCAGTCCCGCAGCCTGGTTTTGTGACTGACCACGGCAAAGTAGCTGTCCTTCTGCAGGGAAGGCCCAGGGGGTGTGGCTTCGTCAGCCCTGGGAGGAGCCTACATGCCATCCCAGGAGACCTTCCTACCGGGAAGACTTCTGGTATTTGGTTAAGAAGAGCACTTTCTTGGAGTCAGACTGCCAAGGATGTCACCTCAGCTCAGCCACATAGTGGTCAATCAATCCCTCTCTCCTTCTCATTTACCATCATTTACTGAGACTATTATCATAGGAACTGTTCTAGACAATGTGGGCACGGTGCTGAACAAACAACATTAAAGCATTCAATTATTATTATTATTAAAGGCCGAAATGCTTTTAATAGCAAAATCCTTCCCTCACAACTGAAATTCATATATCCCTGAAATTTGGCTTAAATTCCCTTTAAGATACAAAATGATATTTCCCCAGAGTTGATCTGATAGGGGAGAGAGGGCGAGGGCTGTGGGCTGCGAGGAGTGAAGGCGTGCGGGAGAAAACGGCGGCACCCGGCCGGCGTGCACAGCTGCCGGGTGGCCCTGGGCAGGGCCGAGGGCGCAGACTGTGGGGTCCAGCTGTGGAGTGTGCACCGCGCTCTCTGTGCCTCCGCTTTACTCATTTGCGCAATGGGGATGATGTTGGCCGCAGCCTCACGGGCTTGTGAGGGCCAGCGTGAGTTATCTACGTGGGGTGTCATGGGCTGGCGAGGACGGGATACAATAAATACTGCGCAAGGGGGAGCATGAACGAACTGGAAAGAGGGGTTGGACAGAGACAGGTCAAGCTTCACGTTCTGCTTAGTGCCAGCCCTGCCTCCACGTCTGCCCGTTAACCTGGTACTGACACCACTGAAGGCCATAAAGAGCAGCCGGCATCGTAAGAGTCATGTTCTCTCGGTGCCTGAATGGCCTATAAAGGCACAGGGATGCTGCCCTATTGGCCAGGCTGAATGGGCTGGAGGAGTCTGCCAGACAGGGTCTGTGTGGGCACGGGCCCTATGGGTCAGCGCTCAGCCCTCCCACTGATGCTGCTCTCCTCTGTCCACATCACTGGGGGTGCAGACCCCCCAGACTGGACACCTCCTGAGGACGGGGCTTCTGCCCCGCCATGAGCTCTGGGTGTGGGCGTGTCCCTCTTGGGTGAAGCAGGATCGGCCTCCCGCCCACCCCCAAGTCCTGGTTCGGCACTGCGGGGCCACCCAGAGCACTGCTCACCCTCCGCCCCCACCCCCGAGCGCTTCCAGCTGGGCCCCTCCTGCTGGCTTTCTAACGCATGTGGGCCGCCCAGCTGTGGGGAAGGGCTGGGGGACCGCAAAGCTTGCTTCTGGCCGCATGCAGAGCGGGGCCTGCGTTTCTCCTAATAAAGGCAGCGGAGAGGGAAGGTGCGAGGGGCCTCAGTCAGTGAACTTTTGAACGTATCTGCCTAGGGCAGCTCACGTACTTTATAATTGCTAATGATTTCTAAGTAATCGTATGTATGCTTGGGAATTCCTATGAGGTAAGAAAAGCCCAACCTATGAGTCATCTTTAAAATGTAATAAAATTTTCATGAATGCTAAATTTAATAATTAATGAAGTTGACATATTCGTGTGTCTTGTAGACATTAAACATTTACTAATTTTGATTTTATAATTTTCTTTTTATGTTTTAGAACTTGTTTGTTTTCAGGACTTAGAAATTTTCAGTTCCCAGAAGAGCTCATAGGCACTTTGCCTACAGTGTCTAACGGGTAAAATAACCGTGACCTCTTGTGTCTGGGTCCACGGAATAGTTTGACCCTACCAAGGCCATCACTTTGTGACGCTGTGATACAATGTCCTGGCACGAAAGAGAGCCCCCTGCCTCTAGTTCCTAGTTTCACATTCAGGATGGAGGCTTTTGCAGACGGAACAAAATTGGAGGAAGGAAGGAATGAGAAAAGGAAGACGGGAACTAATGAATGTTTGTCTGAAGCCTCCCATGAGCAAGCCGCAGTGAGGGAAAGTTTCACATTCATTCAATTGAACATTGAATAAGCACCTACTATGTGCCAGGAACAATGTTATAGAACGGTGATGGCAGGGGGAAACAGACAGGGTCTCAGCCAATTCCAACCGCAATCCAGGGAGGTGAACACCTTTGTCTCCCCCCACCTTTTTTTTTTTTTTTTTAAGAGTTTAGGAATTTAAGGCTCCTGGGATGAAGCAGCGTGTCTGAGATCAGCCCGTGTCGGAGCTGGCGAACGAAGCCCAGGCGTCTGAGCCCCCGGCCCGCGCTCTCTCCCGCGGAGCCTGGTGAGAGCGGGGTTATGGGCGTCGCGGGGAGAAACTAATGCCAGTTCATTGGTTCGGTAAGGACCACGGTCATCCACGGTCCGTTCCAGTGAAACTTCGCAGCTGGCTACGTCCTGTCTCCAGACGCTGACCTCGAGGGCAGAGGGACGGTCCCCTACGAACCTTGCATCCCTAGCACCTACTTGAGTCCTCAACATGCAGGAGGGACCAAGGCAGAGTTGCTGAGTAAACAGGAGGTTGTGTACGTAGAGAAGTGGTCATGGATGGAGCCGTCAAAGTTCCCATGAGCGGTGTCCTCAGAGGACCTCTGTCCTGCGCCTGCAGACGCCCGAGAAAGACTTCACAGCATGAACGTACTCGTCCTTAATGCCTACGCACCGGAAGGGCGCAGTGTGTGAAGTGAGCGTGGGCATTAGAGGCATCACACTGGGTCTGGACCCAGGAAATAATGACTTTGTGCCTTTGGGCAGATGAGCAACCTCTTTTTTACCTCTCCTAGCTTAAAAAGAAAAAAAGTGAGAGGCAGGCATGCTCACTTCCACTCTTGGTTTGGGATTAAACGAGAGATGGATCATCATAGGCCTTGAACACAGTTGATGCCCCATAAATGTTATCTTCTTTCCTGTGGGCCTGTCTCTTTACTTTCTCTGCCCTGATTTCTCTCCTGAAAAATAAGAAGGGTGACCCTTAAGGGCCATTTGTGTGGGCGAGTGCAGACAGCACAAGATGCCCTGGCATGTCCTGGTCGCATGTGGAATGGAGTGGCAAGGACTGACGAATTATTACCAAAGCAAAGCAAAGCAAAGCAAAGCAGAGTAAAGCACAACAACACTAACAAAACACCGCTCCCAACAAATACACCCGGTAAGTTCTGCCGGGGGGCAGGGCCTCGCCTCCCTATCCCTGAACACAGCTGCAGGGTCGTGGGGACTGAGTGGTTTGCCGGAGCCCCGAGCCCTGAGGGCTCAGAGACTGCTGGCTTTCCCCTTGCAGTTCTGCGTACTCAGAGTCCGTGGGCCCCCAGCCCACCTCGAAAGGCAAGCCAATCAAGGAAATGCTGCTGTGGGCAGTTCAGGTCTACAGAGAGCAAACAGCACCGCCGGAGGCTCGCACAGTCGGGTCCCTTAGAGAAACGCAACACTGAGGGAAATCTGTTCCAGATAAAGAGTGACTGCTGCCTAAGGGATCTGAAGGCACGGCGGTCAGGACCAGCCAGGTCGCAATTTCAGGTACCCAGGGAAAGCCCCGTGTGCGCCCTGAGGCTCCTCCCCATGGACTGGAAACAAAGCCTGCCTCGTGCGGCCCCAGCCGGGGATCCCCCTGGGAGAGGCTCCGGCCAGCTTTTGCTGTCCCCGTGAGAGAGGAACACCTTGTCTGATTATTTGCACTAAGGTGTGTGTGACAGACCTAAGATTTGGCTGAAAGTTAGGGAGCTGGCAGCGCTACCCACAGCCCACCAAAGAGGGGAGGGGGTGAGTGCAGACCGAGGCAAAGGGACAGAGTGGGACACGGGGACTGTCCAGCCAGCCAGCCCTGCTTCGGGCAGTGCATCTCATCCCACAGAAGAGAGCGTGCCCCGTGTAAGAGGACTTCCCATCACGAGGCGCCACAAGCTGTTTCTGGAAGAGGTTTTGTGTGTCTTTGCCCTTGACAACCGCCAACACACTGACCACTCGGTGGCCACAGCCCTCCCCCGCCTCGCCCGAGCCCCTCCGTCACTGGGGCCGGGGGGCGTTCTCGGTGTGCTTGGCTTGTTACTGGGTTAGCGAACAGAGAGGCGAAGGGAAGCCTTTGCGGGGAGCTGGCCCCGCTGCAGGCGGCTCCTACCATGTCGCTCTGCGACGGTGTGGCCCCGTACGAGGACATCCCGTTGGAGGGCGCGGCTGGCTGCGGGGTGTCAGGCTGGATGTACCCCCTCCTGTCGATGAGGCTACAAGAGAAAACAAAACAGTAAAGGAGGAATGGGAGTAAAAAGCCAAAGACGCCATCAACACTTTTAATTTCCACTTCGGGGGTCGCTCTTTCTGGGACGGGCCCAACTCAGACAGGGTGGGATATACCCCCACTTACCTTCACGTGTAGTCAAGCACCAAATTTTGTCATGTCTGTGTTTTCAAATGCCTGTAGCATCTGTTCCCTCCCTGCCAGCTGCTGCAGGCCCCCGCCCTGTGCGCTGGCCTCAAGCCCACTGCCTCTGTCCTCCATCCATGGTCCCCGAGCTGGGCGTGCCCACGTCACCCCTCCTGCGGGCATGGCTTCGAGAGCTGCATGACCAACGGACACAGTCCCGGCTCCTGTCCCGACGCGCCTGTCCCCCACTTGCCTCTCCAGCCTTAAATCCACGTCTCCTTGTTGCACACACGGCGTCCGTGAGTTCCTTCCTGCCACAGTCGTGTGTCTGAGTGCCTGCCACGTGCCAGGGCGCCGCACAGAACAGAGGTCACCACCTGGCACATGCTTGCTGGTTCTCCAGCCTTGGATTTTTATTCAAACTGTTTTCTTACCCAAAGTTACTTTCCCTCCCATGCCACTGTCCATCCTTGTTGTTTCTATTTTTTTTAAAGATTTTCTTTCTTTATTTTTAGAGAGGGGGCAGGGAGGGAGAAAAGAGGGAGGGAAACACCAACGCACTGGAGAAACATTGATCATCTGCCTCTCACGCCCCCAACTGGGGACCTGGCCTGCAACCCAGGCACGTGCCCTGATCAGGATCTGAACTGGCAACCTTCTGCTTTGCGGAACAACACCCAGCCTACTGAGCCACACCCGTCAGGGCTCCGCTGTTCTTTCTTCCTGGCCAGGTTCAAAAGCCCCGCAGCCCCTGCTCTTGCCCTGCACCCACTTCCGTCCCTCATCTGGCTCCTCTTTGCGCGGCCTGGGATCGTCCTGCGGTGCACCTCCCCGCGGGCCGGACTCCTAGGGACCTGAAACAGTTGGGCCGGGCAGCCTGCAAGCTCCCGCGGGGGCGCAGACTTCATCTTTCTCCCCCTCGGCCCCTGGTCCCAGAGGACGCGGGGCTCAGAGCCCCCTGGATCCTGCCCTGTCGGCATCCCCTGCGCCCATGTCTGCATGTGTCACGGGTGTGAGCTCCACAAGGGAAGAACGAGTCTTCCTAATCTCTGTGTCTCCACCGCTGACAGCCAGGAGGTGCTGTGCAAACGCTTGCTGATTAAACAAGAGTGGTTCTTTGTCTCCCACAGGCAAGTGTCCTGAGCAATGTCCCTAAAGGCATCTTCTCTGAGCTCTAGGGTGCAGCCACCCCCTGAGAAAGTGCGGTGAAGCTCTACTTTGCTATCCAAAGAGCCGCCTCGAGTGTGGGCTCAGTGTTGACGCTGAGTCTAAGGGCAGCACAGCAAAGGGCAACAGGAGGTTCGGCTAAGAAGTGGGCTCGCCTTTGGTGGCCCCTGCGGCGTGGGGCTAGGTCCGCACTCCAGCAGCTTCTGCGAATGCCCGAAGTGCACCCTCCACGCCCCCTTCCTGGGCGGGCAGGGGCCGGGTTGCTGACGGAGGCTCCTGCTTGTCAGCTGGGTTTTCAGAAGATAGGAATTATCATCACAACTACTGCCTTCAGGTGTTCAAGAGACAGAAGAACAAGCCATTAAAAAAATACTTGGGACAGGATCTGGGAATGGAACTCTCTGTGTCAGTTTCAGCTGCCTCCCCAGAGGTTTAGAAAAAAAACAACAGGCGCCAGGAACCTCCGACTGCCAAAGGGAGGTGCTGGACTCCCATGCAGGACGTCAAAGAGGTTCCCAGACCAAGCGTGCATTGAAGGGGAGGGAAGGAAGGGCTGGAGGGGAAGGCGCGAACCGAGAAAAGGAGGAAGCCTTGGAGAAGGGAGGCGTCGGTGCCCCTCTGAGGAAGAGGGCTGGGAGGGGTTGGGGCAGCGGGCTGGGAGGTGAGGTTAGGGAGGGGCCAGACATGGGAAAAAGTTGTCTCGAACAGGTGTGTCGGGGGTGGGATGGTACCCCCCCCAAAAGATACGTTGAAATCCCAACCCAAGGTGGAAAGTGTTAACCTTCCATGAACTCCAGCATTCTGATTCACTGGAATGCCATTATTTTGGAGGCCACAAAAATGCCCTGAGTCCTTTTTTAAGTCACAGGAGACATTTGGGGACTTTCAGGAGACGTCGCCCAGGAGCAGAAAAGAGCTAGGGCATCGAGAGTGTCTGAAGGGGGGTGCAGGGGGAGAAATAAAGTCGTCGAGCGGCATCCCACGCGCTCAGCCCGTTTCGTGGACCTGCCGAGGCTGACCTCTGCACGAGCATCCTCATAGTGGTCCATGGCAATCCGCGCCGCCGGCCCCGCCCCTGCCCAGCCCCAGCCCCAGCCCCACCCCCAATCTGGCTGCGGAGCCCTTATCTCCACACTCGCCTCGCGCTCCCTGCCCTCCCTGCATTTCTGCTCCCCTGACAAGCCAGGCTCTCCCCTTACTTCTGAGCCTTTGCACACGCTCCTCCCTCTGCCTGTCCTCCCACAATGCCTTCCCCCCATTCCAACTCGCCCTTTAGCAGAGGTCACTGCAAGCCCCCTCTGCTGGGGCGTCCGCCCAGGAGTCCCCTGGAACCTGCACCCTGTCACCCCTCACAGCCCCTCCACCACCCTGAGGACTTGCCATCGAGGGGTCTGTGCTGCACAGGACACTGCGCGCTCCCCCACGCGCACCCCCAGCACGCGGCGGAGCTGGCCATGCAGCTGGTGCTCCGTCATCCCGGCCAAGTGAGTTCTTAGGCCCGGCAGGCCCACAGCACTGCCCGTAGGGCCTGGCTCTGACCACAGCTTGGGACTGTCTGTCTTTCCAATCTCCATCCGTCCTGCCACACTTCTAGGAGGACCCCTCTTCCCCCAAACCTGGCCATTCCCACCCTGCTGTCCCCACACCTCTGGGCACACTTCATGGAACTGAGTGTGGGGCCGCAGCTCCCACTGGGCAACAGGGAGACACACACACACTCACCCTCTCTCTCGTAAGCGCACTGTTGTACCGTTGAAGAAAGTTTCAGAGGCAACTCAGGCCCACGATTCTGGGCACTCAGCGGGTGCCGAGCCTCTGCCTGAAGCAGGGGCGCTGCTCAGTGGGCGGGGCACTGTTCAGTGGGCGGGGCGCTGCTCAGTGGGCGGGGCTGACTGTGCCGCCCACCCGCGGAAGGCCTGGCCCTTTTAGGGGCAGAGGGGTTGGGAGAGGTTGGGGAAGAGAGGGAAAGGGAGGCAAGAGGGAGGAGCGTCGGCCGGCTCTGGGGAGCCTGAGGGCCAGGTGAGAGCTCAGCAGCCCGCAGCCCCTGCGTGATCCAAGTGGTTTTGAGGGGTCAGCCATCCTCAAGAAATGCCCCATCCAGAGAGACTTGGATTTTGGAAAGAATATAGGCCAAAACAGCAATTTTCATCCCATTGTGAAAGAAATAATTTTAGTTGTGACATGACTGATCTATAAACAGTAAAAAACAGCACCAAATGGAAATTGAAGACGTGGGAATAAGAAAAGAGATTTGGACATCACAAAACGCGTGTGACTCTTGAATTCTTTTCCTGGACTCAGACGTGTATTCTAGCTAGATGCTCCCCCAGGTCTCTCTCGCCTGTTACGCTCCTCCCAGCCTCCAAGCCCCCACTAGTCACGAAGAGCCACACCAACTGGGGACACGAGCTAAACTGTGGAGAACTGAGCGCTTTCTGAGGGGTTTCCTGGGTCCCTGGGTGAGTCTGGAGCTCCCTGGGAGCAGGGCTGGTGCCTCCTAGAAACATCTGCCCCGCCACCCGAGGCAGCCCCTTCATCCAGGGTCCTTGGTGGCCCCTTCCTGCTGGCCCCTCCTTAGAGGAGGCCAATGAGGGGCAGGTTGGGAGCCCCGAGAGCCCCCAGCTCAGGAGAGAAGCACCCTGGGCTTCCAACTTTCTAGATCCAAATAGGAAAACGATCCAATTACCCAATAGCACCAATAACAATAACCCAGTACCAATGAATAAATGGCCTTGGAATCTACGCATGGGTTTATTTTCTTTTCGGGGGAGGGGCATCATTCTTACCTCCCTAATAATGCTTCGCTGAGGCTGGTAATCAAATTAAGTTTGTGTCCCATGAGCACACGTCAGTGATGACGGGCTGTGGAATCTGCGTGCTTGGCGGAGCCGCCTTGGAGCCGAATTTGACACAGGCCACCCAGTGACTTCCGTGGTTTCTCTCCACTTTGCACACTTAGAGACTTAAGAGAGGATGTAGCATGGCTTGGGAACTCACTCTAGAGGCCTGGAGTACTTGCTTAATAAATATTTTTGAGGACTGCTTGACTGAGCTGTTAGAAACCTTCACCACGGCTGACTGCGCTGTGGACGTATATGATTCTGAGCGGGAGGCAGCATGCCCCCGTCGACACGCACGCGGGTTCTGATGTCAGACGCGTGGGTCCGAGTCCTACCAGGCGGTATTCACTAGCTGTGTGGCCCTGGGCCCATTATTTAACCTCTCTGTGCCTTAGTGCCCTCATCCATAGCATGGGATATCGATGTACCTGCTTCCTAGGTACAGAGTGAGGGTCTACAAGTTAACACATGTAAAGCGCTTAGGGCAGAGCCTAACACTGCGCAAGAAACGTCAGCTGCCACCTTTATTAACAAGACAGTTCTTTTATCATCACCTGCTTCAGCCACACAGATCCCCCCTGAGCTATTTTAGCATGTGCATTCTATACGGCTCAGCTCTCGACACTCATTCCTACAGATTTTCTAATTGCTTCCTGCATCGTGTCCTGGTTCCCTTCCTGCGCTAAACATACTCCCTGCTCGCAACTAACGCACGTCCTTCAATAATTAAGGCGGTCACATGCCTCAGTTTCCGTATTTGGCCCTTGGCGGATCTTCCCTGAACTTGACACAGAGTCAGCATGTCAAGCAGAACAGGGCCAGCAGCCAGGTCTCTACGGCTTCTCTTTCACTGAGGCCGTGTCTCCGTGGGCCCGAGTGCAGCCCTGACCTGGCAGCCACCAGGGGGGTGTCATCCGATACCGCAGGACCGGGTCCCTCCCTGGGGAGGCCTGTGCTCACGCAGCGGGTGCGGGCTTTCCAGGGTCTGGGGAGGAGCCAGCGCTTCCGGGACCTTACCTGGGGGAGACGGGCCCGCACAGGGCGACGCAGCAGTTTGTGAAGATGTTTCCGTAGCTGTAGGGGTTATAATTCTCTTTGCCTCTTTTATTTGACCAAGAGCCTTTAATCTGAAAGAAAAAGATGGTAGGCTTCACACCAGGGCCGTGGTTGAAGCGAGCCGGACCACGGGAGGCCACTGGGGATGCAAACAGTCTTCCCTCGTCTCTTCCGCAGGAGAAACGAAGATGCGTTTCTCCAGGAAGCCTGGCATTTATCCCAAACTTGGAAGTGTCCCCAAACAGCAGGTCAGACTAGGGAGAAGGTAACATTCCCTGGGGACAGTCTCTTATTTCTGCTACAGAATGCCGAGGGCCAGCTCACACAAGCCACTGCAGATCCCTCTCAGACGCACGGTCAGTGTGCTCAAGTAGTGACTGAATGAACGGCAGCCGGAAGGGGTCACGTGGCTCCCCCAGTTGCCAATTTAGAGCCCATCTGAATTGGGTCTCACGGTGTTGCCAAAATGCTTCTGCAGATTCTAATATTCTCAGTTTCCAAATATAAATAACTGCATTAGCATCCTCTCAGGCACGTAGCTCACCAGCACTGATTTCCTCAAGTGCTTCCGGCCACCGGAGCGATTGGGAGACATGCACTGAGGAGACTCAGTTAGAATCTAAATATTTAGATCAAAGAGGATTGGGCCTACAAAGAAACGTCCCAGCATTGTTTCCTGTTTTTATAGCTCCTCTCCATCCACACGGGGTATAGACAGGTAATCTTGCAAGAAAGTTAAACTTTGGGGCCGGGCGATCCTCCCAAATGGCGTGGAGACGTTGACCGTGAAAGGCAGACTCTGCGGGCACTCCGAGGTGCCGGCCCGCCCTGGCCTCCCCACGGGGAGGGTGACAGTGGCTCACAAAACTGCGGGAAAGGGCCCTGACGGACATGGCTCCGGGGGCTGGGTGTCGTCCCACAGGCCAGGGGCTGCTGCTGCAATTCCCAGTCAGCGCACAGGCCTGGGTGGCGGGTTTGGTCCCTGGTTGGGGTGCGTGCAAGGGGCAACCGATCACTGTTTCTCTCCCTTTCTTCTTCCCTCCCCGTCTCTGAAAATAAATATGTAAAGTCTTAAAAAAAAAAAAACAACAAACGCTACTGGAAAGGAATAGACCTCCTCAGGGCTCCGAGCTGGGTGCCACCTGGCTGATCTGAGTATCTATTTAACTGGCGAGGTCAGGAAACCAGACAGCAGAGAGGCTTCCCACAGAGAACTTGGAGCACGAAGGGTGAAGGGCTTCCAGGCACCTTCTTAGTCCCCAGGGGCTCACATGCGGAGCAGGGCAGGCGGACGACCTTGGCTCCCGACCTCTTCTTTCCCCCTCCCCCTCCGTTGCTGAACACGAAAGGACACACCCAGCCCGGACCGCCAGGACTTACATCTTCGTTCGTCGTCTGGTTGGAGCCGATCAGGTATGTGTGGAAGCCCGAGAGCCCGACGATGGACCAGACGGAGAAGAAGCACACCACGGCCTCCAGCACGGTGCCTGAGTCAAGGGCGGAACGGGAGGGCGGGGCGGGGCGCTCCCGGGCTACAAGCGCCGGGCTTCAGCCGGGAAACACCTGGGCGCCGCTCAGGCCTCTTGCACTGATCCTGCCTCGAACGGGTGTCCTTCCCAGCCCGCGGGAGCCCCTCGGGCAGGCCCCATGCCCCACGCCCCACCCTCCTGCCGCGTACACAGCATTCGCGCTCAGTAAGTGACAGAGGGCTCCCCGAAAGTGACCTGCTTACTTCCTCGTGGGCCCCTGCCTGGCCTCCCTGCCTGGCCTCCCTGCCTGCCCTTCCTTGCCTTCTCCTTGTGACTCTGTGTGGCCACCGGGTGTGGCAGCAAAACCAGAATCCCTGCTGGCTGGGGTGGCAGCGGCCCAGGCCTTTGATGAGAGGACCCAGTATTGAATCTCACTCCAATCGCAGACTCTGATTTTGGCCTCTCAGCGCTGAGGTCTGTAGTACCAACAGGCTTCTCCCCCAACCTGGTCCTGGGGCTGAGAGCGAACGGCCACAGGGCTGGCAGTCCCCAGTGGGTGGCTGTAGCCACGCAGGGTTTATTGTCACGGCTTCCTTTCTCCCCAGGCAGCCCTTCCACACTTGGGCGGCTGCCTGCGCCCATCTGCGGGTGGGCCCCTGACCCGCGGGGCCATTTCGCAGAGTGGCACCGGCATGAGGGTCATTTTTACGGAGGGAACCCTTTCCCAGCCCCTGAGCCCACCCCGAAACCGAAGGCTCTGACCCCTAGATGCTCACCAGACATCGAAGGACAGACAGTTACACAAGACGCATGACAACCAGAGAAGAAAAGGCTGGCATTCTTCAGAAGAGATAAATCAACCCAGAGCGTGGCAGCTTGGAAAGACTAGAGAATTTTTCTGTCTCACAAATGTTTATAAAATTCTATTTACAAGATACAGATGTTTCTTAGGAAAAAAATTCTTCTTAGGTCTGGGAGTTTACAGTACACCAGGCATGCCCCAACAATAACTTACAGGCCAGAGAAAATAAATACGCATGTTTCCCTAATGCTTCCAGGGTGGAAGCCGTAGATCATACGGTAATATACCGCCATTGATTCTTTTTTCAGGGTTGGATATAATTCATCTTTAGACCGTAGAAGTGAATACATTAACCAGGGCAGTGCTGTGACGTGCCACATCCCAGTCAATGAATGCCGCTGTCCGGGCACGCGGGGCCGCATACCAAGCACGAGAAATGCAGGGGTTCCTGCCTGCTAACTGACCATCGACGTCAGGATGAGCCACCAAGCCTGCTCTTGGAGGGGTGGACAATGCTCTACCTCTACCTCTAGAGTCTGAACACCTAGAAGCTGCCAGCTCACAGAAAAACACCACCCCAGATTCTCCCAGGAGAAGGAGAGTGCTCCTGCTCCGGCTAGTCCTGGGGAGACAGCGAGGTCTTCAAGGCTGCCAGCACACGGCGCTCCGAGGGCCTGCTCCTCCTCACGGAGGGAGGAGGAGCAGGAGGAGAGAAAACCAAAGTGCTAGTTTGGAAAAGCTGATAGACATGGAAGGGCAGGGAAGATCAGTGCAGGAGCAGAGATGCAGAGAAGCAGCGCTGCACCCAGGGCTGCCGCCAGCCTGGACCACCCCTTCCGCTCCCCTGGGGGGCCAATGGTTGTGGCGGGTGGCCCGGTGCGCAGGCGGGACACACGGACAGCGGTCTATGAAGCAACTGCCTTCCGACAGGTCAGGACTCAAAGATGTCCTTTCTCCTAACCTCAACCCCCCACCCAGGGACGTACTGGTTTGGAAGCAGCAGTGGAGTCCAGGGACAGTGGTGAGGTACGCGGTGGGCAGGCCCCGTCAGGGGAACCAGGTGCACAGGGAGATGGCTGAGGCAGTGAATTTGCATAGGCTGGGGCCAAAGACAAGGGATGGAAAGATCGAAGAGGAGGCGACACAGGAAACCAAGCAAGAAATGGTCAAGGGTGGAAAAGAGAATAAAAACCAGAAGCAAAGATATATTTCCTGAGTAACACATGAAGAGCAGAGCTTTGACCTCAGAAACATGCTGCACCTACATGCAGGTAGAAAGATGGCCATGTCCAAATATGCAAAACATCTGCGTGTGCAAACCGCATACAGACTTGCATTAGGGTGGAGGTGAACGGCCGCAGTAGAAGCGGCTACTGCCCATATTCTGTTCCTTTGCAAAGCCACTTGCCATCATTGTCCCCACAAGGAGGCATTGTTTTGCCAGTGGATGTAGAATTTTAGAGGTTTAGAGCAACAACAAAAGAAAAAATGCAGCTTTCTATATTAATATCTCATGTGCTTTAGAAACATTTTATAAATAGCAGAATGCAGTTTTGCTCGCTGCTGTGTCCGCCAGACAGGAATTCGGGGCAAGATGCAAACCGCGGCCTGCTCTGGCTTCTCCCACGGCGTGTCTTAAGGGGTAATCACCATCTTTGACGACAAAGGCCGGCCTCAGAGGCTGTGTGTCAGCTGCTGGTCCGAAGCCTTCCCAGGGACCAACCTAATCCTCTGATCAACCCAGGGAGACACATAATTCCCATGTAACTGATTGGGAAACAGGCGGGAAACAGGCAGGAAACAGCTAAGTAATTTGTTTAAGAAATAGCAGAGCTAGGATTTGAACCCCGGGCTGTGGCTCTGGAGCACGACAAACTGTGGGCGGGCTCCTTTCTTAATTCTTGCTGAGGGACAGGTGGCTCTAGGCTCGCCACTCCCCCCACCCCGTGGGGGGCGGACCCTTGTCGGGGACCATTGAACCTCCCGTAGCCGAAGGAGTCCTCCCCCGCTGCCCTAGACTCTCTCAGACTGTGGTCAAATATCTGAATAGCCCATCTCCTCGCCGATCCAGTAGATAGGGGTTGAAAACGTCTATGCTAGAATAAGAGCAATGTAAGTTTCCCTTAAATGTATAAAAATCCATTTACTGACTTTTTTTTTTAAAGAAGTGAGAGGAAACCTGCCAACTCCATTAGGAGCCAGTTTCATAAGCACTTGGATGTGGATCACATCAGAAACGAGTTCCAAATTATAGCTGTTACCACCGCCAGCCTCTGTCTGTCTCCCTCCAACCTCTAGTAAGGCAGTGAGCCCCCTTTGTGGCCAGGGGTACGGCTGTAGCTCCTTGCAGCCCCTGGTCAAGATGTCATCCCTGAGGCACTCAGTAGCTGATCATGGAATTGAACAAATACTGACAAACGCTGAGGGCAGATGCCCCTCCACCAAGTCTCCGCGCGAGACCAGGAGTGCTGGCTGGAGCCTTCCTGTGCACCAGCCCGGCCCCCGAAGGGCCCCGCGGCCTGCCTGCCCCTGGGAAGGTGAGCGAGGGCAGAGGGCCTTGCAGGGACGTGGAAACAGGGCTGGGCAGAATGGCGGGGGCCCCTCAGTATTTGGAGAACGATCGGCGTGAGACATCATGGAACCTGGCCTTCTTGGGCTCTGACTTTGTTAAAAAAAAAAAAAGTGCACGCAAACACATTTTTTCCTTATAATTTCAGGAGGCTTAACAATGGCCCTGATGCTGTTCCGTGGCTGCACACTGACCTGAGTTAAGCTGTCCTGGTTTGTCTTGACCCTGTCATTTCACAGGGAGGAAGCACGCTGACGCTCTGGGTCACCAAGCCCCTTGCAAGGGTTCACACAGCAGTTCACGGCAAAACAGAACTGGCACTTGGTCTCCAGACGTCGGGCACAGACAGATGGTTCCCAAGGCCCCAGACTACGACAGGGTCCCATGACAGGCCTTAACTTTGGGGCCTCGGACCTCAGAGCAGCAAGACTGAGACTGCCTGTGACATTAAGCTCGTTCATTGGCCCCACAGCCTCGGAGCCACCCCGGCGAAGAACGGGGTGCTGTTAATACGTCCGGGCCACCTCTTTGCATCCCTGTAGTCAGGCGTAAGACCTGGGTTTAGTTTTAGTTTTAGTTTGTGTAGTGCCAAATGCAGGTGGCACTTTGTTTTAAAAAGTCTGTGTGTCTCATGTGAGTTTTCTTATTGACCAAAATCCCAGAGTGGCTGGTGAACCCTGAAGTCCAAGGCTCTGCCTCGGGTCTCCTCCTTCCCCAGCTCTGGGCTGGTGAGGCCCTGGGTGCCCCACGGTGTGGAGGGACATTGTTCTGGGGGCACCACGCATGTGCCCCTCACCCTCAGGCATCTGACTCTGCATCAGGCTCTGTCTGGGGTTCTGGTATTTAAATACAAGGAATAGATGCTGTTGGAAATAATTTCTTTTTTTTTCTCTAAAAATTGCTGAGAAACCGTCAATGCTCACTGACAGGAACCGCTCGGATGGAAGCAGGGGTATCAGAGACACTTCCCATTGTTCTCGGGACTGAGTGTCTCCATCAACATCAGGGCGTTCATATGTTTAGGTTCAGGAGCTTGTTGGCCTCTTATCTTCATCAGTTAGATGGCCCGTTAGTCCCTAGACAGAGATAGGGGAACACAGCCCGTCACCAGAGGGCCTGTCACTGTGTCTGGGATGTGAGCTGCTGACTCCACGCCGACTTCCGCGGCAGCCCCTGACACTAGAAAGTCACTGAGACCCTTCGGACGGGACTGTGTGACCATCACCTTTTAGCCTCTTCCGTCCTCTTCTCCCGCAAGTCTTGGTACCGGGCAGAAGAGGGGGGCAGTTGTCCCGCGTTACGCTAGGAAGTCACAATAATGCTGATCAAAATTCTGGCAGGGATTTTAAAACTGGAATGAGGCACACTGGTTCTAAAATCCATCAGGAAGAGAAAATGTACAAGAGAAAGGGAGACATTTTGAAGAAAAAGCATCCTGGGGGTGGGGGCAAGAGAAGACTGTTCCAGCCAACAAAGCAAAGTAACGGAATCCCGACCGGGCTCGTGGGCATGTGCGGGGGCGGGGGCGTTCCGTCCCGTCAGTGGTGGGAGAGTAGACCGCTGGTCCTCAGGGGCTGGCCCTGGACCCTCAGGGTCCCCGAGGTCCTTTCAGGGACTCTTCAGGTCAGAACTGTCTTCCTATCAACACCCAAACATTCCTCCCAACTTCAGCCCCGTTCTGTCACTCAGTGGCTGGTTCCGGAGGCTGCCTGACGTGACGTAAGCTGTCCCCGCTCATGCTCACAGGATGGGCACTTGTGCGTTCTTGCATTTTAAAAATTTCTATTTTAATTTCAAACATGACATATAGAAATAGATACACTCTATATAACTAAAGCTCTTTAGGGTCCTCAATAATTTTTAAGAGTGTAGAGGAGTTCTGAGACTAAAATATTTGAGAACTGCTAGACTAGAATAATAAGCCGTATTGAGACCCTTCACTAAACATTTGAGGAAAATTACAACTGTAGCTCACACCACACACATGAAATTATGCTGCAGATAAACTATTGTACCAAACTTAAGGAACAAAATATAAAGGTATTAGAGGAAAATGAAGGAATTATTTGCATAATTTGGGGATGAGGAGATAAGGCACAGAGCCAAGGATAGGAGCTTTGCAGTATAAGACTTATAGATCAATTTCGTTAATATGTGAAACACTTGTGCATTCAGGTAAGTGATAGACTGGCAGAAAATATTGGCAAAGGATATTTAAAAAGATTATTTCTGAGAATACAAAAAGAACATGCTAATAGAAAAAGAAATTAAGCCCAGTTAAAATATGGACAAAGGGTATGTACTGGCACATTGTGGCAGGAAAAAGAAAGGTCAATAAACATGAAAGGATGTACAAGTCCATTTTTATCCAGAAAATGGAAATTAAAAGAATGAATTTTTCCCAGCCCATCAAACTGGCAAAAATCATAGCACTGGTAACAAGCACTGTGGCGGAAGGCGGAGGGAAATGGGCGGATGACTCGGTCCTCTCTCTATAGGGGACAATGTGGCAAGTCAATCAACATTTAAAATATGTTTAACTTCCAGCTCAGTGATTCCACATGTAGTAGTCAATCCTAGAGAAATGCTAACGCTTATGCACAAAGAAATACGTACAAGAAAATCCACTGCCCCATTTTTTGAGCAGTAAAAGAATGAAAAAATCTAACTATCTCACAAGAGAACACACTTTGGTTCATATGTACTCTGGAATTATATGAAGAAGTTGAAAAAAAATGAAGTCCATATACAGGTTGACATGCGAATATTTCAGGAAATGTTTAAAAATCAAATCAGAACAATGCAGAGAGCATGGTCCCTTTTAGGTACAAGCGGTCCCCCCACCGTGTACTGGTACACGTGTCTGAATGCACACACAGGAATTCAAGCCCTTAGAAGAGCACTTGGAAGGAGCCACAAAAACGGACAAGGATTCCTACAGAGGGACGGGAGGAGGCAAGAGCAACGTGCCCTTTTTCTCTCCCCTTTCAGACTATTTGACATTTTTTATGGTAAGAATATGCTCTTGTATAATTTCGGTGATTCTAAAAACCAAATAACCTCCTCCCCCACTCTGCAATCTTATGAAATGTAAGCTATTCTTCATGAAGCTCCCTCCACCAGATGGGGGAGGGGCAGCAGGAAGAAGCCCAGTTCCCTGGGTGGGTAAATCAGGGTCCTGTAACCTCCAGCTGCGGGCGACCTCAGGACACCTGCCCCATTTGTTTTCTGGGGATCAGCAGGTATCAGGTTGGACGGGCCCTGAGGGCTGAGAGTGAGGGAAGGCCTGAGCGGCCTTGGTTACTGTTCCGCCAGGCTGACGGTGTCCTTTTCTGCAGGCACCTCCAAGCCTTCCACCAAGCTCCATTAAAACAGAACGATGCCCGTTAGGCCATCCGTGTCCCTCAGACAACGGCCTCGAAATGACTGGGGCCTGGCCCCTCCTTTCCCATGAGAACTCCACCCATCTTTCCAAGCCCCTTGCAAGGGCCACCTGCCAAGGCCTTCCCTGGCCCCCCTGCAGAACGAGCGTCTTCCTTCTGGATTCCACTCCCTGCCTCGAGGGCATTTTCTGAGTCTTTATGGCACTCAAGGCTGATTCTGCTTTTAAGAAATCAGAAGCTGAGCCTACTGGACATTGACCCACAGAGCTGTGTGCTAATAAAGTTATGTTGCTTTAAGCCTCTGAATTTGTGGCTCTTTGTTATCCTAGCAATGGGAAGCTAATAGAGCCAGGCATGTGCGGAGCGGGGCTGGGAGAGGCTGCGGCCTGGAGGTGCCGACATCCTGTACCCGCACCGCGTCGGGATGCTGTGAGGGGCCCGTCACCCACTGAGAGCAGGTCATGGCTGCCAAGTTCCGGGATGTGGAGGCCATGCTAGGCCACAGCCTGAAGAGGGGAGGCGTCAGGCTGTGGGAGGAGGTGCCGTGGCAGATGTGGCAACCCTGGAAAGACAGTGGGCGAGATGTTAATGAGTTTTCAAAACGGGCCATAGGGGGAACTCTTCACCTCCACCTGAGAATGACATTCCAAGGGAAATAAGCCAAAATTTGCTCTGGACCAAATAAGAGAGCTTTTCTCCCCTCCCTTTTCCACGTAAACAGTTTCTGTAGCAAAGTCAGCAAGCCATTTCAAACACATTGCCGCCCTTTCTATCAGCAACATCTGTCTCTTTCCTTTCGGGGAACACAAAGTCCTCGATCACACAGACCATGAGCACGGCCAGACTGTGGGAACACGCAGACACACGTGCTCTTACAGGAGGCCCTGGCAGAGGCCGCCCACCGCATACACTGCCACGGAAAGAAGCCTCCCTGAAATCACTCCTGCCCCACGTGGAAGCAATGCTTTGGCGCTGAGCGATGTCACATATACTCCAAATTGTTGATGTTATCAGCAAAGCATTGGCAAGTACAGAGTGGATGACTAAGGCGGGTCAAAAAACTAGACACAAAAGGGTTAAAAGAAATGACTCGGCTCCATAATGAGCTGGGCTGGAGCAGGAATTAAAGGCTGTCACCCCCGTCTATGACTTGCTGCCCCTACCTCTTCCCTTAGGACTCATGCCAGGATTGCGAGCTGATTTGACCTGTGAGCTGGGAGACTGCAGGGGACAATGCAAACACCCAGCGGCAATGGCCCAGCTACACACAGCTCCTCTGCTCCGGTGGGAGCTGTGTCTCAAGGTGCCCAATGAGAGGCAAGTGGAGCAGCAGGAGCCCGAAGGCCCCAGGGAACAGAGTGGCTGAAACCCCCCGGGCTCAGGCCCACCTTTCTCACCAGCGAGGGTCACTGCGTTGGCCTGTCCACTGGAATGCATGCATGCCACATGCACACCCAGAGAAGCTCTCTGTCCTTTAAGAATTCCCTACCACAAGATGATGACCCCCAGGAATAACGAGAAGTTCCAGTCCAGTCCACCCGGTTATATGAAGGAGAAAGAGAGCTGGGTCCCGGACGGTGGGGTCGGTGGGGTCGGTGGGGCCAGCCGGCTCCCGCGGCACCAATGAGTGTACACAGTGGGTGGGCAGGGCAGGGCATGGGAGCCCAAGCAAGGTCTTAATGAGTGAACACTTTTCTTTCAAGAAGTTCAAAATAATACAGGACATGCCCATATATACTGTTTGAGAGGCTGGGATTAACCAAACGACTGGAGACGGACCATCTTCAGTCCGTTCAGGGCTGTGAAAAGGCGTTCTGTTTCTGAAAATAAACACAGGATTCTCTGTCCTGCCCAGAGGAATGCCAGACCGACCCCCAGACAGAGCCACCCCCAGGCCGTGGCTGACTACCAAGAAAGGGACCCCCACAGGGGCCTCCTTAAATATTCCGCAAGGACCACCCACTGATCCAAATGAAGTCGGGGGAGCCCGCAGCCTTACTTCTCCCCAGACCAACCTGGTTTAACACAGATCCACGCGGATTTCTGGGGGTGGGCAAGGGTGCGCACGTGGTTTTGTGGCTCAGGAGCCCTCCCGTTGAACCAAGGCTACCTGAGTCATCACTGGGAAGTGCAAGCCTTCAGACACTGTTCCTCAGGCAAGGGGATGCTGGGGGCTCTCTGCCTGCTTCGCAGGACACAGCAGAGTGTGCCAGCTCCTGAGAAGGCAGGCCCAGGCACCGGGCGAGGGGGCGACTGGGCGGAAGGTCAGCCCAACACCTAACACGTTGGCCTTGTAACCGACACAACTGCCAGAAAGGATATCTTGCAGGACTATCCTTCAGAGCATTAAGGAATCCTGTTTGTTGTGAACCTGTGGGAATAAAACCACAATTTAGTATTCACACATTCACTTGCAGAAAAACAGCCTTCATGCTAAAAGCCCTCTCATCTACATAGAAATGATTGGTGTCTCAACATCAATGACGTAATTATATTTTGTGCGTGCTACGGCACCGAGTACACGGGTCTGAGACTGAGGTCCCACTGAAGTCATTCAACAAGAACATGGCAGACTCATAACTAGACTCAACATCCGCAGAATATTTTTTTTTTCAATTAAAAAAGCAGATGGATTTCTGCATACTTTCCCATAAATTATAGTTCTGATGACTCCTTTGTTTTCCTCATTTCAACAGGAAAACAACACTGTGTGAAATCTTTTCTCCTTCTTTTATGAAAAAGTGTTTTCCCAGAGTCTGTTAACTCCTGACCCTGGATGTCCTGGAAACCAGGCCGCGCGTGGAAGACACCGTTCCCTGCGCTCAGAGTGAACAAGCACACGATGCTGTGGCTTAGCACTGACACCCTTCGGGTTGAAGACATTTCAATAAGAACGGCCTGTGCTGGAAAACACTTCTTTAAGGGCATCCGCAAAGACATGCTGGAGAAGAAGCCATTTCTATTTTATGTATTGGCGCTAAGGTTTTTATGAATAAGAGCCCGTAGGAGGGGCTGTGGACGCCGCACTCTGGGTGGTGAGGCTCGGTCCCTGCAGTACTACTGCACGAAGCCATGTGTTTGGGGACATGGCCTGGCCCCGGGGCAGCAGAGAGGTGAGCAGGGAGAGCAGCGAGAGGCACCCTGTGCGGGTGCGGCTGCCACCGGGGAGTCGGAGGTGGCGCCCCAGACCCTTCTGTGTAAAGGGCCACCCTGTCCTGCTACAGGATGGCTGCGTGCAGGACAGTGCCCCATTCTTCCTTGAGTTCCCATTCCCTCTGTGCGCCCCCTGCCCCCCTGCCTGTGGGGACTGAGATGTGGGGATGTGCCCTGTGGGTTAGGGCGCTGACCCTTGGGAGGACTAACAAGGAGAGGCGGGGCCTCCCCCTCTGCCCCAGCCAGCAGCAGAGCAAAGCCAGCGGGGGCTGTGGCAGGTCTCCCAGCAAACACAGCCTGAGGCAAAATACTTCAGGGACACTTGTGGGAACAGAAGTGTCACCCACCCCCCGTCCTCCCCATCATGTCCCCGCTCTCAGAGCCCGTTACCTGGCAGGGAGGACTCGGGTGACAGACCCTCAGCGGCAGTCTTGGGGGATCATGGGGGCCACATAAAAACTCTGCCCTTCCTGAAAGCATCTCCGGTCACACCAAGTGGGGGCTGGGACAGGGCGTGTTGGGGTGCAGAGCAAGAGGAGAGGAAAACCTTTACGTGTTTTCATCCAAAATGTTTGGGTCGCTTGCAGGCAGATGAATTCCGAATGCTTTTTGTGCAGAAAATTAGATTAACAATATGCAAGCATAGGCTGCAGCAAAATCCCGCTTCCTGGAGCCCGGCTGAGTGCAACTTCAGCGGAGGTGAAAGTGAAATGTCAGGCGGCTGGCTTCACCGTGTGTGTGTGTGTGTGTGTGTGTGTGTGTGTGTGTGTGTCCCCTCAGAGGTTATGTGTGTGGCTGGGCACCTGCAAACAGGCCCTTGATATCCAGAATGTAGGGGCAGAGCCATAAACACAATGCGATAATGTATATAGGAGAACATGCTGAAGTTACTAAAGAAGACATAAAGGTGTAATGTTTACACTCTATTTTGTAGAGTCATAGATAATGGGCTGGAATATCAGTACTTATTTCTTCTGCAGTGTGCACGCAGTTGCGTCTTCCCTCTGATTCTTTCGCCTGTTAGCACACAGCCAGGACCTTGGCTACTTTTGCCATTTTCCGACTCTGAAAACCGAGAGAAAGCGCGCCCCTGCAGGGCCACGCTGGCACCCCCTGCCCGCCCGTCCCGCGGGAAAGCTCTCTGACGACTGTCAGCCCCGCTCCTGCAATCCTGCCGAGGAGCGGCTGGCAAACATATGTTACAAATTTGTGTCGCATTCGGATGAAAGGGTTTCCATAAGAAAAAAATGGGAACTAGGATTTAAGATGCCTATGCAAGTTTGGGATATTCCATTTAATGTCCATACTTGACCAATCTTTAAAAGAACTAACATGAAACTTTCCTGACCACCGACTTCCCCCGGGGCCCACACAGGCTCCATGGAAAAAGGGGAGGAAAACGTTTCTAAGTTCAGTCTCAGCACACACCCCCTTTGTGGTTTTAGTGCTGCTGCTTGGGAAGAAAGTGAGGCATGTACTCAGACACTTTCTGGAACATTCCAGAAAGAGGCTCTGTACTTGCTAATGGTGGCTGTACTTCAGGAATGTGGACAAGAGGCTCCGTTGGTCTTTACTGGTGCTAATGGCACCGTAATGGAAGTTTAAAGGCTTAAATTTATAGCTCAAAGCCAATTAACTTCCCTCTCATCCCTGCCTATTGTAGGAAAGTGAATGACCGAGAGAGACAAAAGAAATGCAAAATTATGACCTTCAGAAGGGTAACAAAAAATGCCGTTAGTGTAGGCAAATATATATAAAGTCATTAATAGCCAAATCTCATCTTTAATCAAGTCGCTTCCCTTATATGCCGGGGCAGCTTACCAATGTTCTAGCAGGTCTGTGCACATCTTATCAAGTGTATACCTTCTACATGTGGATCTGTGCGCAAGACCACCCAGTCTTTATCCCCAGTCCGCTTTTTCTAGGGAGGTGACTGTTCTACTTAAGTAGATATCACATTAAAAAACATTACAAAGCTCTGTGCTCTGTGGTCACCCCTGCAGTGTGCAAAGTGTGGGGGCGATTCTTCCAGGGGACCCCTTAGGGGAAGAGAAAGTGAAGTCGCTGAGGTTGGAACAGGGACCAGGGTATCCAGGACGAAGTCTCAGGAGTAAAGAGAGCCTGTCCCGGCTGTGACCCTGGCAGCTCGTCCTGGGGGCGGGGGGGGGGGGGGAGAGGGGGACTGGAAGTGTTGGGCGGGGGGCGGTGACAAGGGACAGTGCAAGGCAGAACCAGAAAGGGGGCAGGCCGGAAGCGGGGGGGCGGAGGGGCCCAGAGACGGGGGAAGAGAAGAAAGAGAAAGCCCGAAATGATCAAAGTATTAAATCAAAATTAAATCAGAAAACCAAAGGCAGGCAAATGGTTACATACGTAATCTGGTTTCGCCAGCATACTTACGAAGAATGACGTGGGTGATAACGAATGCAAATATAAAGACTGTCAGAAAAGACAGAGATAAAATAAACATATAAAAAAATCTGTAGTTTCTTTTCCCCACACAGTTGCCTACCCAGGGACAGTGGTGATCAAACCGTTCTGAAATGAGAGGCAGAAAAAAAAAAGAAAGGGAAATCAATTAATAAAATGAATTTTTACATGCGGGAGCCCCTCCCCCACCGCCCAATGCTCTGATAATATAACAAAATATCATACTACGTCCTTACAAATTAACGACTCAGAGCAAGGCTTAACATTAAGACATTTCAAGAACATAATTATTCTTTCCACAGAACTTGGCTGTTTTGAAAAACAAAGAGTATACATTTGTTCTCATTACAATTAGAAAAGTACAGAGTTCACCCTTTTGTACAGAAAACAAAAACCTCTTTGGTTCACAGAACAGTCATTCCTTAAGATGGCACCAACTCCTCAGACACTAAGTCCGGGGGTGGGAGGGCTGGGTCGCCGCCTCTCCTGGGTACACATGTAGTATTAAGTGTCTGCTTCTCATGGTAAGTGACCGTGGAGCGAGGTCCCAAGGGCTGGGACAGAACAGAGGGACAATCCATGGTCTCCCATCCCAATCACTACTGTTTCTGAAGAAATGTCTCTGCTCTTTCAATAGTCGTAGGAGAACTGATATTATTTTTAAAGTGAACCATGATCTTCAAGTGCAATGTAACACCAGATCACTCAGACCACGACACTCAGCTTCCTTAGCTGTGAAAGGAAGATAGTCTATGGGATTCCTGGGGGCTTTAAAAAAAACCATACAGGATGCTTTAGACTCACAGGGGTGTCCAACTTTTTGGCATCTCTGGGCCACATGGAAGAAGAGCTGTCTTGAGCCACACATAAAATACATTGTGACATGTAATCACACACACACACACAAATCTCTTTGTGTTTTAAGTAAATTTACAATTTTGCGTTGGGCCGCATTCATAGCCATCCTGGGCCGCGGGCTGGGCACCCCTGCTTAGAATCTGTTAGGAGGAGTCACACACAGCGATACATTTGGCCCTGAGACATCCTGTGAGGAAAATGGCGATGCTGCCCTACGTTGCAGGTGAGCACACTGAGGCTCAGAGAGCAGGCAGGCTGTGCGCACGGGACCCGCGCACGGGTCCAGAAGCAGTGACACCAGAATCAAGGTCAGGTCTTTCTCTGGGCTGGTCCCCTCTCCCCAGTGGACAGGCTGCCTCCAGCACTTCATCACCGACAGGGCGTTGGCTTTGCGCATTCTTACACCGTTACCCTGTGGTACCCTGAGTACACACCACGGCTTCTCGCCTTGGGAATCGCCCATGAATGCGTTTTTGATTTGTTCCTCCCCTTGCAGGTAACTGCTAGGTGCTTCTCTTCAGTACTACTCAGCTGATGGGGCGTGGAAGTTCAACACCCCTCACCTCAGACTGCCTGCGCAGGGGGTTGGGGGAAGCTAGGCACAAGACTTAGGTTTTTACTTGGGCTCTAAGCTTAGCCTCTGGCCTACGGTCACATTTTATCTACCCACATGTGCTTCAAAACATACGGAGGGGCTAGGTCAGGCGCGGCTGTGGCGGTAACACAGTGTAAAGCTACGCAAGGCAGTCAACTTCATTCCTCTCTGGTCACCTATCATAAATCACTCATCTCATATTTTATGTCAAGTGCAAGCTCACGTCTTGTAAAGGGCAGGAGGACACCTGGAGACAGTGGTGGCTTAGGAACTGTATGAGTCTCTGTTGTCTGTAAGTGACATTAACAAGAAGCAGCCAGTCCATGCAGAGGAACCAAAGAAAAACCCCAGAGCTCACTGCCCTGGTGACACCCCAGCGGCCCGTAAGACGCTGATGCTCAGAGGAAAGCAATTATGATCGGTGTACCCATGTGGGTTGCACGTTCACACTTGCCGCCGGGAGGCAAACCCCTGCATAAAACAACGTCATTGTCCCTTGTCAGCAGCCTACTCAGGCCATGCAATGGCGAGGGCTACACAGAGGGATGTAAAGAGAGAAAAAAATCTGAATCAGCAAGATTCTCCTAAGATGTTGAGGCTGTCATTTTGAGAGACCTCTTTTCTCCTTCCCACGGCGTGTGGGAAACGGGAGTGAGACATGAGGCTGGGGCATGGAGCGTGTGGAGGATGGAGCTCCGATCCAGCTGTGGAATCTGGTCGCCAGACCCTTGTGGGCGGGGGAGGAGCCTCTTCTCTAAGATCGCCAGCTGCAGAGAAGATGGCAGTGCTTGGGAACCTATGTACCGTGACGGAGCCCTGTGAGGGCCACGGTCTGGGCAGCTCGCTGTGAAGCATTTCTGCGGGGCAGGCGGCCATTGTATTTTTGGCTTAGAATGTTCACTATTAGCTAAGCTGCAGCTGGGCTTCCTTGAGGCAGGCAGAGCAATGGAGAAATGAAAGCAGCAGGTGATGTGCAGGGGACACTGTCACGGGTTCTGGGTGGCGCTGGGGGCACCAGCCATGTCTGAGGTGTGGGTGTGAGCACCTGACCCTCTGGAGGCCTGAGCTGAAAGCAGTTTCCACTTGGAAACTCATCTTAATAAAACCTTTCTCATGGCTGACGAAAATCCCACTAAAAATGTAGGCTCAGGCGGCAATTCTTTCATTTAATGTTTCTCATGTCCTCCTCTGTGTTTGTTGAACATGTACGTGGTGGTTGGGGAGCCTCGGAGACCTCGTGGACCTCCCAGAAGGGTGAGGGCTGGCGGAGTCCGGGCCTGCCGCAGGGCGGCTTCACGCCCTCTGGCTCCTCTGTGACCCCTCTGCCTGACTTCCGGTGGTGGCTGCACCCAGGGCTCAGGCTGGGCCTCTTCACGTCTCTGTGGACGCACTCGCTCTCTAGGCGATTTCTTTACCCCAAGTTCACATGCCAGCTCTACACAGAGGGCACCAAAATGGCCACATGCCATCGTCAGCAACAGCCTCCTGCTGAACCACCTGACATCTCAACCCTGACACCAGGGAGAACTTCCGGTCATTCTTCCCTAAATGCGTTCCTCTTCCCACCTCCCTTCTGTCCAACCTAGAATCCCAGGCACCATCCCTGACCTGTCCTTTCCCTCACCCTCGCATCCGATCCATGAGCAAGTTCCGCCAGTGACCCCTCCCCATTATCTAAAATCATCTTAGTTATTTATTTGCTTTTATCTGCCAACTCAATTCCAAGCCTTTAATAAATACCTGTCAAGTGACTGAAGAAAATCTCTTACCACGAAAAGGACACCCAAGTGAGCAAGCACATTGCCCAATGTCACAAAGGTGACGAGCAGTAAGGTTGGGGCAGGGCCCAGCTCCACCTGCCTCCAGAACCCTTGACCTCTACCTGCCACGTGTCTTTCGTGAGTATTTGCCACATGTTCAGCTGTGTCCAGTGCTAGGACTACTAAGAAGAAAAACAACCACACAACACTTCATGGCTTCAAGGAGTTCCCTGTCTTCTTTGGTGGGGACACTTTATTTTCAGGCTCCAAAACACATATATTCCTCAGACCCAAGGCATGAACTCCCAACAAGGGGAGTCCTAGCGTTGAAACGAGGGTGCCCTCTCACTGCACACAACAGTCTCCCTTTATGGGTCAAGGACAAAGTGGTATAATGGGTGGCTCCCCCATCCCCCACACTTCTGCTCTGAATGCATTTGCCCTAGCTCTGAAAAGTGGGGGACGCCTAGGAGCTGCCTGGGGTCATTTTGAAGAAGAGGCTTATGATATTTGTGTTATTCGGTTTCCAGGGAAGAAGAGCAGAGCAACTGGGCACAAGCTGACACAGACGTGGCTCTTGGGGACCTGAGTGAAGCAGTCATTGGCTGGAAGGGACAACATCTGGAGGAGGAGAGGGAAACCCAACAGCTGGCCACGAGCTGCACGCAACCACAACATCTGAGACGTTTCAAACATCTATTATTAGAGGTCAGTTTGCGTATTTGTGTGTGGAAACACTGAACAGCGGGTGCTAAGTACTGGTGGGCGGGGAGGGGCATGTGTGATGGGAGGGACTTTGGAAAAGCATTTTGGATGAGCTGTTGCCACGTCCCTTGATTCTGAAGACTGGATCCTGCCAGAAGGGCGGGTCTCTATGCTGCAGCATCTCAGGAGGATTCCTGGGAGCTACTCCCTACCAGAGGCCACACTGGAACCGAGCCTGGGGGAGGGAGGGGGCAGCTGATACACCTAGCAGTTTCTCTAATCATGCAAGATCTGTGTTAGTTAGCTGGGGCGGGGGGCACCTGAGCCCACCTCAACTAGCATCTCACTGCCCTGTGATAGTTTGTGCATTTTCCTCTCTTTCCCAGGTGAGTCCTTGAGGTGAGAAACCATTTCTCGCCATCCTAGTAGCCCTCGCACGTGGGTGAGGGTCTGGCATGTAGCAGACCCTCCACAAACATGTTCTGAGTGAAGAAAGCATGTCTTTAATCGCCTTTGGTTTCCAAGTGATCACTGTTTCTGGTTGCCAGGTGGAGACATTGGGAAATGACAGGAAAGATAAGACTGGGCAAGCCAACCGCAGGAAAAGGCGGGGTCTGTGAAATGTGAATCTGTTCAGAGAATGCTCAGGGTTGGAAAATGGTGACTCATGGCTAAAAGAGCTGAGGGGACAGTTGTTAGTGTGACATGGGCTCAAGGAGACATGTGGCCTCCACCCTGTCTTGCTAACAGCAGGGAGGCAGAGGTGGGGTCATTAACAACAGCTCCGCCGGATGCCAGGGGAGACCCAGGGGCTGAGGGCGAAATGCAGGAGGGGGCAGCTGTTTTGAAAAGTCAGCTGCCCTCAGAGTCTAAGTGGGGAAGGAGGTCCCATTACAGTGGCTGCGGGAAACCTGGTCCAGGAAGGGGAGTTACAGGCCTGTTGTGTTAACCCAAAACTCTAAAGAATAATCAAAAGAATATTACTAATGATAATTAAAACTGTCATTCACTGAGTGCCTGTCACATCATTATGTCATTTATCCTTGGTGACAGCCACACGCTTTCCAGAGGAGAGACTGTCCAGGGAGGTGGGGAGGTGCCCCCAGCATGGGCAGGCCCCAAACTGAATGACAACACCGATCACTGGGTGAAAGGAAGATTTAATTTCAGGGAGAGACAGAATGTGAAAA